CAGCATATAGCCAAGCAGCAATCGAGCTCTTGGCATCCTTTTGACCCTTCCATCAGAGACTTGGGACTTGTCCCTCTCTTGACCGTTTGTACCCCCTACTATGAACCTTTTTCGGTACTAATAACACGAGCAGCAGCAAACTAGATGTAGGGACATTCAGCCCAAACCAGTATAAGCCTTGTGTCCTTTAGTACACCATTCGAGTCTAACACGCAACAAATATAAATTTACTAGTTGGTGTTTATTCAAAACACCGACACACCTTTTATTGAAATTGATGACAAAGGGGGAGAGATTATACAAAGATATGAAAGCTTCGAGAGAGATTGAGACAAAGAAGTAGAGGTTGGACATGGACATGGACAAAGAGGGAGCAACATTGAGGAATTGAGAAGGATCAAAATTCTTGGACAAGAGAAGCACACATGTAGGGGGAGAAAGCTCATGAACTTTGATTGATTGCATTTGATATGTGCATATTCATGTGCTTGCTTGCATTGCATAAGCTTTTAAATTCAATATGCATGCTTGTGTGGTGTATGCTAGTTGTAGAATTTGAATGATGATTTGATAACTAGCATACATAGGATGGTAGCTAGACTCATATTTTTACACGTGGCACTAGAACCTTGCTTATAATATTGATCTCACGGGGTTTCTAGTGTTTTTGTTATCTAGCTTCTCATGATGCTAAGGATGGTGTTAAAAGTGCAACTCCGATTGATATCACGTTTCAAAGGTTATTCTATACACCTTAGCATCACTTAGTAGTGATAACACTCCCACAAATTTCATATTTATGCATGTGTGCAAACTTGAAACCAAATCATTTGAGCACACATGTAGGTGGAGCTATCACCACCAAGTCGGGTTTTATGATGCTTATCTAAATCTTAACATAGAGCTTAAATGTTGGATAAGTGGCATAAAATCCAAATCAAGTTTGCAATTTACACTTGTGTGAAGTGCTAGCTTGAAATGAGCTTAATTTCCATATCTTTGTAGAATTGTCATCAATTACCAAAAAGGGGGAGATTGAAAGGTCCTTATTTGGTTTTGGTAATTGAGTGACAACCTTAGGTGGACTAATGTGTTTAAGTGAGATACACAGGTGATTAGTCCATAGGTACATGTGTGTGAGCAACATATGCCATGACGGTGATGATGGCTCAAAGATGTTGCAAAGCTCACACATGTGATGATGAAGGAGCTTATTGCACATAAGACATGACACGGAGTCATGTGATCAAGGTGGAGAAGATCAAGACATGACTTGGCTTGATGGATCGGTTGCAAGCGTGAAGGGCAAGTCGGAGGCTTTGGAGTGATGGACCGCATGGCGGTGAAGCTTGAGCAAGACTTGGCACCGATGGACGAAGGCAACAATGAAAAGCAGGTGAAGTCAAGACCGATGAACCAATACGGTCACATGATGATATGAAGTGGATCATATCATTTGGTGAATGGTTGGTGCATGTGTTGCATCAACAATGGAGGAGATGGAATGGAATGCATAAGGCAAAGGTATAACCTAGGGCATTTCATTTCACCGGTCATAGGTGTGTAGAGAAGTTTATGACCGAGTTTAGGATAGATGGCCATACTATCAAGAGGGGCAAATTTGTTTGCATATCGGTCATCTAGTGCCACTCGAGTGATCTAACTTTACATCTTTGCTAGGATCGAGTGGCATGGCAAGTTAAGTGGTTAACTCCTTGAAAAATGTTTGTGAAAAGCTAACACACGTGCACAAGGTGTTGTACACTTGGTGGTGTTGGCACATTTGCAAAGGAGAAGAAGTTGGTGAAGAAAAGGAGTTGAATGCGCTGGTCACGGGGTGACTGTACGCGTCTGATATGAGTACCAGACGCGTCCGGTATCTGTCTTAGCGGCAGTATTCCCGACGTGACAGGACGCATCCGATATCAATACCAGACGCGTCTGGCCAGGTGTGGGCAGAGTTGCCGAGGTGACCGGACGCTGACGAGTTGCTGTTTAGCGTTAGGTTAAAGTGATATAGCCCGAAGCAGGATTATAGAGAGCAACCGGACGCGTCCGGTCGCCACGCGTCTGGTGTGAACCAGCTAGTCTTAGGTTTTCAGCGCAATAATTGATCGGATGCTGGGAGCGTCCGGTCCGGTGTGATCAGATGCGTTCGGTCGGCCCAGAGCGGCTCTGGGAGCTCTCTGGACTCGACCGGACGCTGCGTCTTCCGCGTCCGGTCATTTTCTAGCAGTGCGTCCGATGTGTCGTGTCAGAGCATGTCAGAGAGGGCCGTTGGGAGGCAATGGCTACTTCATTTGAAAGGGACATGTGGCGGTCAAGCAGTGATCGGACGCAGCGATCGGACGCGTTCGGTCGCCACATCGGACGCGTCTGGTGCACACAACCTGCGCGTTCGGTTGTCCCGAAATCTGCCCAGTGAAGGGGTAACGGCTATTTTAGCCCGTGGGGCTATAAATAGAAGTGTTGGTCGGGCTTTGGCCGTTAGCGGTGGAGAGCTGAGCACACTAGAGCCTTGGTGGCTTATGTGGTGGTGCTTGGGAGCCCTCTAACTCACTCTAGCTTGATAGTGTTCATCCGATCGAGTGAGCTAGCGATTCTAGTGCGATTGCATCGTGAGGTTGCATCGAGTTGCACTAGGTGATCGAGTTGCAAGCCGGTGGTGCTTGTTACTCTTGGAGTTTGCCACTTCCTAGATGGCTTGGTGGTGGTCTCCGTCGAAGCCTGCAAGAAGCTTGTGCGGTGCTCTAGAGAAGAGCTTTGTGAGGGGCATTGTGCTCGCCCCGCGGGAGCCGCGAAGAGTAACTCTAGTAGAGCGAGACGTGAAGGGCGACAAGTGGTCCGGCCAGGTCAAGTGCTAGAGCTTGTGGTAAGCACTCCACGTGGAAGAGTGTGACTTACGGGTCACCACTAGCAAGAGGACCGGCAACAACCTTGGAGCTTGTCTCAACAAGGACTAACGTGTTGGCAATCACGTGAACCTCAGGATAAAAATCATCGTGTCATCCTTGTATTCCCGTTGGTTTGCATCCTCGTTACACAAGCTTCTATTTACATTTCATATACATTGTGCTTGTGTAGTTGCTCTTGTAATTAGTTAGCTTGTGTAGCTCACTAGTTACCTTCTTGCTTGTGTAGCATAGAAGTAGCTCCCTTACGTGGCAAATTTGGTATGTGTAATCTTGTTAGTCACATTGCTTAGTTTGTGTAGCTAAGTATTTGCACTCTCTAATTGGCCATTGGTTGCCTTATTATTGAGCATTGCTAATGAGTTTAGGTGGCTTTGTGCTTTTGCTTACTAGCATGTGTAGGAGCTCCCTCATTGCTTGAAGTACTAGTGGTATAGGTTTGTGTGACATTACTTCTAGAATTGGTTAGGTGAGCTCTAGCTAGCCCGGCACCTTAGTTGTCTAATTAGGATCTTTATAAGGTGCTTGTGAACTTCGATAAAGGGGTGGTCTTGGCTAAACCGATAGTTTTAATTCCGCACTTATTTCGGTTAGCCAGCGCGATTAAGTTTAAGAAAGGACTATTCACGCCCCCTCTAGTCCGCCATCTAGACCCTACACGCGCGCATGCGACCGCCGCGGGCGCATCCACCGTGACGCCCGCCCGCCCACCGCTGGCCTTCTCTAACGCGGCGACCTTCTCTAGCCACGGCCTTCCCGTCTGGATGCCTCCCGCCCACTCCGCCTCACTGCTCCCACGCGCCCATCCCGCGCCACTCTCTCCTACCCGTCGCGATAGCCCATCCCGCGCTGCTCGCTCCCGCTCGTCGCGTGTGCCGCCCACTCGGCCGAGCCAAGCCCGGTGCTGCTAGCAGTGGTGGTGGTGGTGCTCGTGCGGCGCCAGCTCCGACCCCAACGGCTGGAATTGCTCGGCCCTGGGCTCCCCCATGTTGCAAGCGCATGTTTCAAATGTTTCATGCATATGTTGTAAAAGTAGATCGAGATGTTACATATGTTGCAATGATTGTACACGTATGCTGCAAAGTGTCAGTTTCCAATGTTTCATCTGTTTTTTTTCAGACGTATGTTGCAAGTGTGTTTATCTAGATGTTGCATATGTTACACACATGTTGCAAATATTTTATCTGGATGTTGCAGATGTTTGTAATTATTTTTCAAGTGTTTTTATGTGTTTTCGCATGTCTCAGACACATGTTTTGAATGTTTCAGCTATTCCGTACGTATGTTGCAATTGTTTCATTTGGATGTGTTCAGACAAGTGTATTTTTCGAGGGTGTTGTGCATGTTGCAATGCGAGCCACCTGCCGTAGCTATAGCTGCTGGGCACCGTGCATGGAGGGAGCGGCGCAGCAGGCGTGGAGGGCCACGGGAAGCAGGTAAGCGTGGGGGAGTGGCACGGGTGGGCCCTACTTGTGCGTGCAGCAAGCGCATGCGCGAGCATTGCAGAACGTCCGGGCGCTAGTGCTGCCGCCCTTAATGGAGTCCACACTCCATAAACTTCTAGGATTTATATATGTTTTGGATGTTAGAAACTGGACGGTAATCACAAAAAGGGTATTAAAAACATGGTTTAGTCAAACCTTAAAACCTATGACATCCATATTTCTAGAATGATTTAGTTGAAAACATGTAAGTTATATGTGTAGAATTGTAAAGGAAAAATACTTACAAAATCATATAATTTGAAGGATTTGAAGAATATAATTCAGAAGAAATTACTGGTCAAAGATATGCATCAAAGACTGTGAAGTCCCATTCAACAAGTATTTTTACTGGAGTCCATAAATAAAATTATAAAAAGTATGAACTCATCTGCACCAGAATATAAATACACGAACTGAAATTACTATGGTGGTACCATGCTTTATTTGGAGCCTTAAACAAACAACAATATGTTACAAGCCTTGACCCCCTTTGTGGGGTTTTGTCCCCAAAACCAAAGAAGGCTAAATACAATGTCCGACAGCAGCAAGCACAAGATCATTTAACACGGCATACAATTGGGAGGCCATTTAACCTGATGATGTGCTAGCACAGGAACTTGACGACGATAACTGAAATGTCGTCCTTGCTCTTCCGGTTCACGGCCTGCTCCGTCAGGTGCTTGGCAGCTGCCTGCGCGTCCTTGCAATCCTTGATCTCGTCGACCGCCTCCTGGTTGGACATCACCTGCACATGCGCCATTCTCACATTATAATCATCATTGAAAAAGGTAAACACAAACTTCATGGCCTGATCTAGAGTATAGTGTTGATAACAAAAGACCCAGTTAAATTGCATGCAAACTTGCAAAGTCATGTGCATACATGCATACAACATTGAATGAAGAGTTAAGCTTAGATATAGACTAGACCATGCTGTGAATCAGGTAACACCATAAATCCTTCAGAAATGGTTTGTAAGAGTTTCATATGCATTACCTTCCATAAGCCATCACTTGCTAGAATTAAAAAATCGGTATTTTCATCGATAGTTTCCTCAATCACATGTGGTTCAGAGCTGAGGTGCTTCTTCAAGCTCCGGTCTCCAAATGCCCTTGCAACTGCCAGCTGCCCATCAACGCGTGGCACATCACCTGCAAGTGAAATAAGTTTCAGATTAAATTTCAATATATCAAGATAATACGCACATGACTAATATGAAACAAGCTTTTATTAGCGGGTTGGCACAAGTGACAACCACAAGCAGGAAGGAACAAGTTTTGAGATGATATGAAAACATCTGATTTGGAACCTCAAGTCATGATGAAAAGGTTGTTCCAAACATACAGTTCATTGCTAAACAATGGCGAGAGATGTTCATTTACCCGGTAGGTTTGATACAAAGCCACCCTTTTGCTCAATTGTTTGTCGCTCCATGTTTGGTTCATGGTCAACTGAAAGCTGCTCCGCCACACCATTCTTGCTAATAACTGCCCGTGAATCCCCAACATTTGCAACTACTAGTTTCACGGACTTGTCGCTGCCTATTAAGATGGCAGTAACAGCTGTGGAGCCACCTCTTCCCAACTCTGCTGTGTTTTCCAATATTTTCTGATCTGTAAGTTGGTATGCATTTTGGATAGCAGTTTCTGGATCACTCAAGAATTCTGGCTGAGGAGGCAAGAGTCAATAAAATAATCAGCACAGTTGTCTTAAACTACATTCTATATACTACCTTAGACAAGATTTATACGTGAAGTCATTCTCTTTCATGCTCTGAATGTGGCTGTTGCATAAAATTGTAGGTTGCAGATCTGCCGTTACAACTAGTATATGCATGCTTTAACTAAATGAGAAGCTCCTTTCACCTTTTATTGCCAAAATCAGTTTTTGCAAATTGCTTAGAGAATATTTACGGTACATCAAGTCATAATAATCATTCCCTTTCCATAGGTCATAAGCATGAAGCTACCATATACACTCTTACATCATTTGAGTATATAGCAAAAGCCAAAAGGAAGCTGCCACTGATATTAGTCTGTAAAGATAAAAAAGAGTAACTGAAGTGGAACATTACCTCACTCAAGATGTTATTGAAAAGATGGGAGCGCAAAAAGTCTGAAACAGTGTGGCCCAGGTGACCATCGAATATCGCAAACAAACCCAAATCATGTTCACCAACTTGCCGGTACTCTGCTACTAGATAGTCCTCCATTGGATGATTAGATTTTCCCTTCACCAGATGGTAACCATGCTTGACAACCTTGCCTGATAACTTTGTCTTGCCTTTCCCTGTTTCTGGTCCTGATGAACTAAACACATCTTTCACCTATTGGAAAAACATATACTCCCATATCAATCATATTGTCTTAACACAACAAAGCACATAAATAAGCATGTCCAAAACACACAAGCACACAGCACAGTTAACCAATAAAAATGCGTCCGGTTGTGCATCAAAGGGCTCAACAATATAATCTACCAAAACTGGACTTCTATCGAATATGAGTTCTTCATGATGATCACATCCTTCTGTGCATGACATTTCATGAAACTTCAAAGTTGAACCATAGATCACATTATAAAGCTCCTAACATGAATGCACACCTCTTATGAAATGCTGTTCCAGAATCCCAGGTGTAGCGGCACATGTCTTAAATAGTATGGGTGTGCCACTACAAAACTAATACACATGTCTTCCAAATTAAAATAGTGGATAAACAAATGCAGCACACAAAGAAATCCATACAAACTAGTTCGAGAAAAAAAAAAGAAATCCATACAAGCAAGTAAAGATACATATATTTAATTTATTCCAGTAAGTAAAAAATAAACCTAAGGTAGTTATGGACTAATTTTCATTAGCTTGAGCTCTCCTATCAGGCTCGTGGCAACAGATTGAAAAGCTCTGTCTCCTACAAAAAGTTAGTTTCTTCTATGCTTTCTTTCCTCTATTGCATAAGCAGGACAAGGAAAATTCCTCTTAACCAGGGGTGGATCAATTGCCCGGCGACCCTCATCAGAGAAGTCCAAAGGGCATTTTGTTGGGTCACTGGGAGGGGGAGCATTTAATCTTTCTAGGTAAATATTTTGCGTAACGAGAATTGCTCGAGCTCCTAAAATTTTTTGTATCCACCATTGTCCTTACCCACTAACAAAATGATAAAACATAAGCCAGAACTCCAATATTTAGACAGTTAATGGTGTTCTAGCTTTACCACAAGAAAATTATACCTTCCGCTTCTATTGCTTTTTTATTCCAGATAAACTTCTTTCAGATAGAACACCATAAACATCTTTTTGACAGAGCATCAGTTCTGAAATCACATGCATTAAAATAAACTTCTCTTTAACAGAGAAAATAGCTAGGTTCATGCAGATTGCAAATTTCTCATTTAGATGGTGTTGCTGACCACCGCCCCCCCCCCACACACACACACACACACACACACACCACCCACCACCACCACCACCAAAAAAAAAAGGCTCCTTTTTATATCGAAATATTACCAATAAATGTTTTTATCATCAATCCAGCCATTCAGGTAGTGAGAGTATGAAACAGATGTAAGAAGATATATGTACATCCCCCAACTCCTAAACACACGCCAAGAGGTTGGAGAAGAGGTTGTCCCATCAAGGGTCGCCAGTTAGTAAGATTTTCATGTCTCCGAATCCAGTGAGTCCCCAAATGAACATCACGGCTCCAAAATTTATCAGTACAATCCAAATAATCCGTCCTCTCAGCCCCACAAATCTCTGCACCCCAAAGGAAACCTATGGAACAATGATGATAAACCTAACTGGCTACATACAGCTAAAACGAGAGACAATCAATTAGTAGTAGCAAGGAAAAGGAAACCATAGGGCAAAACAAGCAACAGTCTTCATCCTCTTCCATTTCCGGTTACCTTGTCCTTCACCTTGTGAAGGATTTCCTTGCCAGCCATTGCTGCGCCCCCTGAGCCCGCCTGGCTGAAAGCTTCTGCCTGCGTCTGAAATCCCGCCGCCGGTCCTCGCCCTCCTCACCTCCTGGTAGCAGAACCAGAACCAAGCAACCAGCAATGAATGGGTTGGTCCTTGGGATTTCAGTCACCCTTTCCTGATCTCTCCCACCAAAAATCAACAATATCACTGCTCGCCTCTTGGATCAGCTCGGGTCAATGATGATATTTTATAGGTTTATTATAGTTGAGGGAGGAGGTGGGTTGGTGGTGGCGGGGCCGGGGGCCCTGCTGGTGTGTGTATGGAACGAGAGGAGAGGGGTGAGCGGAGACTGGATCTTGGATAGCGTCGGTTGACCTGGGGTTGGGGAGAATGGGACATGGACGTGTCGGGACAGGAGAGAGAAAGGGCACACACACCACGGAGAAAAAGCACCGTGTTTTTTCAGCCTTCCCTTTCCGTGTTTCACACTCAGGAGAGATCGCCTGCGACAAGCGAGATCAGCACCTCTCAGGATTCAGGAACTCATACTCATGTCATGTAGTACATGTATGTATGCAGTGTCCGATTTGGCATCTGAAATCGGGAGTTTCGTATAGCTACTTCAACAAGTGAGTCACGTTTGTCGCCGAAGCCACGGTGACAATTCAGCTGAGTTATGACATGACATGGATAAACTTTTTGACTCGAGGCTCTTTGCAGATCACAGATCAGACGGCTGAGGTGCAAGTATAAGTTGCCGACCATGTTGGGTTTTCTCTTATCACCAGGAAAAGGACAGTACTCGCTCACAAGTCATGACAAATAAATGAATATAGTGGTACGTGTGATAATATTAACATTACGTAACTTTCGTAGATCACATTCATTCATTCAGGATAGGGCACATCATTTATATAAGTGAGTATTGTATAATATTTTAGGATTGTATTTCAAGGAGACTATATTTATTTTTACGTATATTTTTCAAGCTCTGATGGTTTACACATAATTTACATATAAAGACAATTAAGTGGAGTCGGCGATATAAGAGAACACTTGAATCATTGAATTGAGATAACTCGGTGGGTTATGTTACTTACGATATATTCAAGTCTTTAATTAACTTGCACGGATGATGACATTTGGTAGATGATATTCTCATCAAGCACGATGTCAATGGTAATTTTTTTCAATCTTAAAATCTATCGGTTCAGACCTTGAATATGCGAGTAATCCCAATATGTGTGCAAGTAGGTGAATGCCTGGATCTGTAGTGTGTTTTGAGAAATAGTTGAATCATAATTAGCCTATGTTAAAAAAACATTTTGCTTTGCCAACCTAATATTGTCTTGGTTATCTTTCCAACTCACGATATGGCATGAGATGAAGATTGGCCGGCTTATAAATTTAAATTATAAGGAGGTGGGGAAAAGGTCGATGAATCGTTCAATCAAAAGGGATATATATATATTTTACACGAAAAACATAGTGCTTTTTGAGGAGAAAAAAAACAGCTTTTGGGATAACAAGTCAAATGTCAACACGCGGTGCTAATCAACTCGAGCAACCAAAGTTACGGAAGAAACATTCAAGAAGCCAATTCGTGACGGAAAGGAAAGATGGACGGTCCATCTCAAGGGAACTGTTGATATATAAATAGTACTCGATCGTAGCCGGCTTTGCGGTCAAGAATGATCTGTTCAGACTTAACTCGCGACCATCAGTGGGGAAGCCGTAAGCCCGTAAAGAAGATACGAATTCTAAACTACGCGTCAACCCTTGCGTAATTCGACCCTTGCGTAAAGAATGATCTGTTTCGAAGCTCCGAACTCGAAAGATTGGAAGTGGGATGAGACATGAAACATTCTATTTATTGTCTGTATGTACAACGTGAGAGTCTGTACCTGCCCTACTCGACCTGGTCAAGTTCTTTGAATTAAAGAAAGAAAGAAAAAACGCGTGCGCACGGCACGCTACCTGCGGACAATTGGACAAGCTAGGTGGGATTTTCTGGATGCGTGCGTGTTCAGAGCCGTGCGTCCCCCCGTATGCAAATCCACATTGGCGGCGCTGTGTTCAGGTCAGAGTGACAATTTGTTCCGAGTCCGTGCGTCCCGAATGCATGCCAGCGGGAGAACGAGAATCTCTTGGATGGCTCCATCCATAGAAGGTATACGAAGGAATCAGCGGATTAACAAGTGTCATCATAATCGAGATAATCATAATACACAAACACACACTGACACACACATAACACCAACCTACACACAGTAGCAGCGATCGCCGATCCTATCTAGGCACACACCGTGTCAGGCTGTCAGCTGTGTTGGACTGACAAAGATTGCTGTTATTAGGGGGCTGGCCTGCTCTAGAGTCTAGACGATCGGGAATGATCTTCACCGCCCAAAGCAAAGAAAATGACAAGGAACACAATCAATCAGTGTAGTACAGCGGCGGAGAGATCTGGAGGGGAGGATGGCGATCATCTGATGAGAGCGTGCCTCCTCGCCCCTCGCTCATCCACCTGAAGCTGCGGAGACTTGGGTCTGGTCACCTGCTTCGTCGATCTGTGAGGACAGAAATCGCCAATCTGTGAGATGAGATCTGAGAGGCTGGACGACATTGGGGAAGAGAAAGTTTTGCTGTACTCACTTCTGTGGTCGGAATGGTCTGTCAAACTTCGGGAGCGGCCGGGCATGTGGCACCATGGTTCTCCTCAGTTGCTTCAGTGCCTTCTCCTCCTCAATCTTCAGACACAGAGATTGCGTCGGTCGATCAGCAGGAGGAGCAGGTAAAAAGAATGCGTGCAACAGTTGCAGGGGAGCATTTAAGGAGCAGGGAAGGTATCTGTACCTTTTGCGCGAATTCGTTCTCCTCTCTCAACCTTTTGTAAGTCTTTTCTTTCTCCTTTATCTGCATCGCACACAAAATAAATGAACATTTTCATATATCTTCCATAGGTGGCAACCAAACATACAGCATGCTCTAGCGAGTGCGAGTACCAATGAAAAGCACAGGGGGAAGTTTACTGACCATGCTATCAAATTCTGATCTCTGCACTGCCCTCTCATCAACATGCAACACAAATTGTTGAACTTCAGTGAGAGGTTTCCGCTCTTTCTCCGGAAGTGGGATAGGATCCCTGTGACAATATTACAAAAGGCTGTTTTATATATCCGCTCACGAAAAAGGGACGAATCCTTAAGGGAAATGCTGCATGTGTTTTACTCACTCCTTCAGTACAGGTTGAGCTTTGACGATTCTCCTCTGAGCTTCTTCCCTCTCCATTCTCTGTCTTTCTTCCATCAGCCTTTGCTGCTCCAGTTCATGTCTCACCAAACTCTCTAGTTGAAAGCCTTCTGGTCTTGTACAGGGCTTCGGTTCAGGCTTCGGCGGCATCTGAACAAGGATTGTGTTAGACAGGATGAATCAAGAAATGGTGCCAGCTCAAAATGTTTAGAGTAAAATTTTCACATACCATCGGGTAGTCTGTTGTGTATGGGTAAGGATTAGCTTTGTGAACCCTGGCCTTTTCTTCCTCCATCTTCTTTTGTAAGAGCTGTGCTTCTAGCTGCCTCTCTTTCAAATGACCCCTTTCCTGCAAAATAAGGGATGCATAATCATTCTGTTGCGCAAACATGATGAGAAATGCTGTGACTCGAAAAAAATCACATGTCACGAGCCTCTGTTTGTAGATTGAAAGGGTTTGGTATGGTGCGTCTGGGCACATCTTGCCTGTTGCTGTTTGAAGAACAATCAGAGTGAAGAGAGAGCTGCAAAATAGGAAAGTGCTTAACAAGATCTCGACCAAAAAACAATATAGTGGTTATACTACCACAAAAAAACAATATAGTGGTTATACTACCATATGGCTGTTGATAAATACCTTGTCAAATAAGTCAGCAACTGATGGAGGGCCCAAGCGAACATCGGTAGAGAAATGGAACTCCTTGGGAGTTGTGACCTGAGACTTTGGATAGGCAAGCACACCAATGTCTCCCTTACTCTCAAGAATCTGCATGGCATGAAGCCCAAAACTGAAGCTCCACAACTCATAATCTACTCAAATTTATGTTCATCTATGACAAGTGTTAGTACCATTTTGTTTAGTGGCCTGGCCTTGAACCTGGGGGCCTTCTCCAGCTCCTCCAGTTCAAGTTCCTGAGAACTTTTCACACTGTTGAAAGATGATGTTAGAATTTAGCATTAAAAAAAGAAGACTGATGTCTGCTAAAATGATTTCAGTTTATCAATTTTGTGTGGCAAAAGCAAACCTTGGTGACCGAACTCTCATTGCTGTATGAAGTTGTGGTGGCTTTGGTTGTGTCAATTTCAGTGGCTTATTTTGACTCTGCAAGATTGAAACATTGAAGTTTGTAGCTAAAAAATTAATAATAACTAGCATCCTAAGATGCAGCAGCTAGGTAACTAGGAACTTACCTGGATAGTATCTGCACAAGAAACTTCTGAACATGTGTCCGCATATTGAGTTGCTCTCTCCATTGTTTTAAGATGGAACTCCTGTAGTTGACGCAAAGGAACAAATGAATTAATCAATGAAAAGAGCCTTTTATTCATGAATTTGCCAGTATGATAGAATACGCACATTGAATTTGGGGACCTGTGGGGTTTTCCTTGGAAGTGGAGGGAACGAAGGGGCCTCAGCAATCTTAAGGCAAAGGCAGTAACTAGTTAGCACGCAGTTAAAGTAAGACAGTCTTCTTTCATGTAAGCAAATTCTTACCTTTTTGTTGAATGGCCGTGCCCTGAACTTGGGGATCTTTGCCAACATTTCCTCCTCTAGCTCTGCAGAGCTCTTCACTTTGACTGCTCGAACTCTGTGGGAAGTCTGAAACTCTGGTTCCTTCGGTCTAGTCAACATAAGCTTAGGCCTTCCCTGTAATGCAGCATCCTCCTGCATAACATATAAGCAATTTGGATGTCAAGCCACTTAATTATTTATCAAGATTTAAGACTGTTTTCCTGATTCAGTATTCCAGTTGTAATAAATATATGCATGTTG